GTTCTAGAAAATAGGTGGCGCCACACCAGTCACGTGATCTCGATGACACAACATTATGTTGCGTCAGGGGGTCACGTGACTATTGTCACGCCGCCTATTTTCTAGAACTATCCTGTACCTTGGCGAATGCTCTAGCATTTACTAGATATAGGGTAGTCTGGTATATATATAAGAGGGTGATAACGTGACGGGAGAACAATGTGTGTGTAGGTAATGAGTAATTGAACTGCAGTCAGAAAGAGACATATTGTTGAAGTTAACGTTCGTTCGTTATAGTGTTTGTTATAGCGCGACTGTTGAAGTTGAGTGTATCGAAAAGTTATATTCGGAAAGAATAAACCAGTTTTATTAAGTAAGGACTTGTCTCACTAAAGTTTCGTCGGAACGAATTTACGGAAAGTTAATTAACAAACGGAGACGTAACACTTATTTTGAAGTTATTGTTACGACAGCGGAAGACACGTGACGCTGCTGGCGCGTGTCTCGAATGATCAAGAAAGTCCGAGTGTGTTCGAGGTGCCCTCTTCGTTACTATATAAGCCTGGCAGATAAAAGCCAGCGGGGATATAAATGAAGAGAGAGCAGTAGTTACTTTGAGTTCCGTGTAATTTATGATTCTGTTAGTTTCGAGCAAGTGAGCCGTAAAGTGTGTGTTTTGCACTCGTCGAAAGCGAAGTTATCGAGATTGTGAACCAATGTGATTTATAGCGTGTATTATAAAAGTTGTTAAGTTTAAAGTGACAAGAAACATACTGACTGAGGAACTACTGTGTACTAAAAGTTTGTATCGAGGAAGAATAAACTGGTTTAATCAAAAAAGGACTTGTATCGCTGAAGATCCTCGGAGAGAATTTCTACCGGAAACAAATAAACAAGCAGATAGTAACAAATTGGTGTCAGAAAGTGGGATGGAAAAGAAAGAAAGAAAAAAAGATGAAAAAAGAGAAGTGACAAATCAAACTACAACTTAGCAGATTTGATGACAGCAATACAAGAACAGCAAAAGAAACAAGAAGAACGAAAAAATAAATAAGAAGAGAGACTACAGCAGTGGTTGGAGGAGAAAGAAAATAAACAAGAAGAGAGACTACAGCAGTGGTTGGAGGACGAAGAAAATAAACAGGAAGAGAGACTACAGCAGTGGCAAGAAAACCAGCACCAGTGGCAACTGGAACAAGAAAGAAAAGAAGAAGAACGAGAAAGGAAACAGGAAGAAACTCTTCAACAATTGCGGGAAAGTCAACAGCAACTACACGAAAGTCAGCAACAGTGGCAAGAAGAACAGGGAGAGAGAGTACAACATCAGCATGAAGAGACAGTGTAAGAAGAATACTACCAATAAGTCAGCTTCGGGAAACCAGTAGTAGTTGGTGTTGAGGGACACCCACCAACCCCCATTGTGAAAGTCCCAACAGCTAAGTGTAAAATGGCAAGCACACATAGTGTCCACGTGACAGGAAAGCTGGGTGGCCAAAAGTGCAACTTTGTCATATATTCTGCATCTCAGCAAACCCTTGTGAGTATCAGGGTGCTAGATCACAAAGGAGTACCAGAAGCCATACATAAGCTCTGTGGTGTGACAGGACATTATGCAAGGTTGTGGGGACCGGTGTGTGTAACTATTGAGCTCATGGGAATAAAGGACAGACACAAAATATACTTGGCTGACATTGAAGACCAATGAATACTGGGGTTGGACTATTTACTACCGAGGAAGTGTGAAGTTAACTTCGATAAAATGACTATTGGGAACAACAAAGGCCAAATTTCAGTAAATTTGCTGCATCCGTTGATTTGCATGTCACAGCACTTAAATCAACTACAATACCCCCTATGTCAGAGAAGATAATTTGGGGTAGAATAAAAGAACATCCCCAAGGAAGTTCGATGCTTGTGGAAGCAGTGGAAGACCTATCCAGGCCAGTGGATGTGAAGATTGGAAGGTTACTTGTGGCAGGTCATCAAGTAGTTCCCATAACAGTGGCCAATTTCTCTAAATGTGGGCAGACACTTAAGGAAGGGGCATTTTTGGGTGTGTGCCAGGGGATAGAGCCAGTCAATGTTAAGGCAAGAAATACAACCATAAAGAAAAGACATCCTCTCCCAGAACACTTAACTGTCCTCTTTAAGAAGAGTATCACAGGCTCTTCAGGTTAGGGAACTTTTGGCGAATTATACAGACGTCTTTTCGGAAGGAGATCATGACCTCGGCTGCACAGACCTTGTAGAGCACAGAATAAATACAGGCAATCACCGTTCAATAAAGATCCCTCATAGGAGAATAGCTCCAGCAAAGCGACAAGAGATGGAGAAGGTCACAGATGGCCTATTTTAGGAAGGGATAGTCGAGAAATCAGATAGTCCCTGGTCAG